TCAGTGGGGCACTCTTTAGCAAGAATAGAAGGATGTGCAATACTCCTGTAGCTGATGCAGAATCCCAATAGACAATTCATAATGCAAAAAAGAGAGTTATTTAAAAAGGCAAAAAACCCTTAGTGAAAGCTAAAAATAACTTCACAAAAGAACATTTATTCTTTGTTATTTTGCGATATTTTCAAACAAGTGAAATCTTTATGTCATTTGAAATGTCATGTTTTACAAGTCTATTCAGCAATTTTGCATGACTGTCCACAAAACAAAGTGTATTTGGGATAATTTCCTTGCTGTAAATCCTCTACAATGCAGCAGAAATTAGTATGCAGATCATTATAAACAGCAGCACCATCTTACATAAAGCCATTAAATTTAAATTTACAAAATGCCTGGAGCTGAACCTTAGCATGAAGTAAAATTACTTTATGTTGAAGCTAAAATGCAATTCTGTGACTCATCAAACCCTATCCCTCTGTACTTTAGAAAGCTTTCATAATGGAACTATAAGGATACCAATAGAAATGAGACTAAAACAACCAAATCTCATGTCTGTGGAGAGCTTGCTGGTGTTGTAGGGGAAACAATCGATCAGGCAGCTTAGAAAAACTGCAATTAGTAGAGTCAACGTAAGTGCCCCACTCTGCCCAAGGCCAGATTTATATTTTCTGCCTCTTCTAAGCCAACAGCCCTGTGTCACCCCTCTAATACTACAGCAGAGCAGACTGGCTAGCATTTTAAGTACAGTAACAAGATCAGATGTCACACAAAGCATGCAGAGGTTGGGAGGCTTGAAGTGATAATCTGCCCCCTCTGTATTAAAGGAGAACTATGGGGTCAGTGTTTTTCCCCATAGTTCTCCTTAGGGTAATGGGAGGACACAAACTAGCGTCCTCCCGTTACCCTAAGCTCAGAATACCGTGAGATACAGCTTGCGGTATACTGAGACGCCGCACCTGGAGCGTATCCCGACGTAGATGACGGGATCCGCCCAGCTGCGTGAGTGACAGCTGGCTCTGCCTACCTAGAGGCAGAGCCAGCTGTACCCGCCCCCAGCCCCGTCCGTTCCGCCAGTCAGCGCTGGCTGATCGGAGCGGGTAGAGGGGAATCCAGCCCCTCCCCCTGTCACGGCAGAGAGCCGTGACAGGATCGAGAGGTGAGGGAACCCGGGATGGGTTCCCTCCACTCCCGATCTACTGAGCCGACCTGTGACAGTCTCATTGTCACAGGTCGGCTTAGAACTATGAGGTGAGTGGAAATTACTCATCTCATAGTTCTCCTTTAATACACCTAGAGTCAACTAATAGAAGAGTAGGCAACCTTGGCACTCCAGCTGTTGTGGAACTAAAAATCCCATGAGGTGTTGCAAGACTGACAGCCACAGGCATGACTCCAGGGGCCGAGGCATGGGGGGGATTAGTAGTTTCACCACAGCTGGAGTGCCAAGGTTGCTTTCTGCTGAACTAATATAAAAGAGTACAGTAAACTATTCTACTCTGCTAGCAGTTAGGTTTCAGGCGTATGCCATTGAAGTTGATGACCTGTTCGTACACAATTCTACCAAGACAAAAGGCACAAACTTCATAGTGAAAACAATAAGGACCCATGTGGATTGCATACAGGCAAGAAGGGTGGAAGTCCAAAATCTTTTAGTATACATGGGAACGGGTTACTGATAACATTTGTCAGCTTTGTGGATGGCCAGGTGGTGTCCCTGGCAACCCTGCTACTCTAGGCCATGTCTTATGTTGGCTGATCCTTTCATTTCTGCTCATACTTTATGTTAGTGGAGTGCTGTGTTATAATAGTATACAGCACTGTTCCAGTAATGAAGTGTAGCACCCTACTGTTAGGAGTACTAAAATATATCTGTAGTCTATGTTCAGTTCAACTGTGACAGAACAATCTGTGAAGCTGTGTCTGCCTGTGATGGGTGTGGTACCACACAGGGCAGAGCAGCCAATGAGGATTGCTTTGGGCATTTAGGTCTCCCAGCCAATCACCATAGGACAGTAGCAGTGATGCATGCTGGGAGAGGAGATAAATGCTGAGTGTGGCTGTTGCAGCAGTTTCTTCCCTCCCCCAGGGCCTCCTGGGGGCAGGTCCCAGCTGAAGAGACAGAATGGACTAGGCCTGAGCCTGGGGCCTAGGCCTGGACACTGGGGCCTGAGCCTGGAGGCCCAGTGGTCAGCCACTCATGTTGGAGTAGAACCTGAATAAGAATATTAACAGTAGTGCTTGCCAGAAGCTCTCCACACAGATTGCCGGTACAGCTTAAAAGGTCCAAGTATGTGGTGGCAGTATTTCAAGTACTAGGAGTCTACCTCATCCTGGATGTGCCTGACTCTCTCCCTCGAGTTTCAGAAATAAAAAAGAGAATCATCTTGGAGCTATTGTCTGGACTTCAATCTGTCGGTACCACTGGAAGTGGTAAGTGCTTTTGGGGCAGCCATGTGTTTTAATAATCCCTAGACAGGCTAAGGAAGACCCGATCATTCAGCGGCTCGTTCCGGGTGTGAGCGCTACAGAAGCAAAATACACAGGCAGTGCCTTGATTTTTGATTGACAAACTCTGTTGTGTGAGGGTTCAGAAGCTGCATTTGGACACAAGTATTATACATACACAAGATTAGAACTCATCTAAAGCCTAAGGTGGTAGGACCACCTGGATAGTACACATCACCCATATTGCAGAACAGGTAGCAGAGCAAGACTTATATACGAGGACTTGGTTTAAAGTGTACTGGAGCAGAGTGAGTCAACTGTCTCTTCAAGTTTATCTGCCAACATCTGCGGCATGTCTGATCTTCTTATTATGATACTAAGGCTAGACAGTTGATGAGGTAGAATGGTAGAAGCAGTACAAGACAGCTGACTGACAGGGATTGGGGGGGG